ACGTTGAAAATAGGATTTTTTAGGTCTAGGGTTCGAGAATGGCAAAAAGAGAAAAACGGTGCGGATTTTTGCTGGACTATCGCCAAAGTTTGGCTCGAACTACAAAAGCAGAAACTCCATCGCTTAACTGTCGTCTTACCTTCGCTCGAGTGACAGTCTGTTGCTCAACTGTCGCGAGCTCTCGCTCGAGCGACAACTTTATTCGGAAAATTTTTATTTCGCGTTTCAATGGCTTTTTCTCTAGTCTATTCGTTTTTCTAACCTACCTATAAATACCAAAACATATTTGAACGTGATTGATGAGGTTGAAGATTGAGAAAAAGGCTACAGAGTGTTTCCTTCATATTCGATTCTTTTAACTTTCATCTGTGAGAGTTTTGGTGAGAAAAACATTAGTTCAATAATCCAAATACCAAACTGCTGTTCCTCTACATCTGATCAGAATTTTGAAGATCCAGGAAGTTTGACTAGAGTTCCAGTCTGTGAAGAACGCGATGTTCTTCATGGATCCACATGAGATAAACAATTTTACAAAGTTAGAAGTTGCTGCAGGAGAGCAAAATCTAGGGAAGCTTTGAAAACTACAGCTGGGAGTGGTGTAGGAGCACAGAATCCAGGAAAGTTGTTGAAATTGTAGTCAGGAGATCAGATAATATATGTCGTCGTCTAGGCTGGTAGACTGTAAGTTATACATATCGTTTACAGTGGATTGTTGACTGGCAAAGTGCTCGAAGTTTTTTCCAATTGGATTTCTCTGCGATCATTTCAGTGTTTGATTTACTGCTTTACTATTCATTGTTTATTATACAACTGCAGTAATTTAACTTATGATAAATTGACTTGAATATTGAATCATCTAGAAAAGAATTTAAAAGTGACTTGTTGCTATTTAATTCGTAAAATATTTCTAATTCCGCATTACATACCTATTCACCCCATCTAGGCATTGTTAGGGTCGAACTGTATAACTTTCAAATTTACTCAAACCTAGTTTATTGCAAGAATCCCAATTTCTTCAATTAAAGCTTATTATGATTAAAGATTGTAGACACTTTCTACCATCAAAATAAAGTATTCTGCTTAAACTTTCAAGCCAATATTTTCCTTTGAATAGCTTGTGGTATTACTTACAAATTTGGTCACTTGGAATTTTTTTTTTCAATCAAGCTAAACTATATGAAAAAAGTAAAAACTATTATTTATGCCTTTTCAGGAACTAGGGCTCCATTTATTTTGTATTTGAATTTTGAATTCATTTTCAGTTTTTTTTTGTTTTCAGGTATGTTTTAAAATTGTAGAAATCGAGTTTGATTTTGTCAGAAAAATTATTTCTCAAAAACAGAAAATTGAAAAACACGTTTAGTGTGGAATTTTTAAAAATTATTTTATAACATTTTACTCAATGAATTTGATTGTTCAGTAAAATAGATAATTTTATACTAATTAATTATACATTTTAAAGTGACAAATCTTAAAAAAAATAAAAATAAAAAATTTTGCTATGCAAATAAAATACCAACAAATAATTAATTGAATAGGCAAAAATTAGGAAATAAAAAAATAAAAACCAATGACGCTGAGAATTATAGAATGTTATCGTAAATGATATAATTTAACAAATGTAATAAGATTACACACTAAAATACTGATAGCAAAAATAAATGCAGTTGAAAAATAAAACAATAAAATAAACTTACAAAATCACGTATGAGATGTTGAGGAGCACTAGCCATCATCATTTTCACATGTACATGTACTCCCCTACTAAAAAGAAAGAAAGAAATAATTCCTCTAGCTGTGTTTATGACCCTGGTGTTGGAGGAAGTAATAAATGTATTTTATACGCCCATTTTTTATTCTAAATTTAAATTATATTTACAAATTTGAGTGAATATCTACTTAATTTAGTACGAGTAGGGTTGTCCAAAAATCCTGAACTGAATCGGACCGAACTGTTCTTCATAAGTTAAATACCCGAACGAGCACCCGAATCAAGAACCGATGTGTTTCGATCGGGTTTCGAGATCTAGACCAAGAATCGAAACTAAATAATTTTTTTTATTTCTTATATTGAATTAATTAAATTATTT